AAGAAATTCGCTGTCTGAGGAGAATTTGGAATCATACATGTTGCTATCAATTGAAAAGGAATTGTTAGATGAATCAGATGCAGGAGCAATTATTGGCAGATTCGAACTATGATCTGATGATAACAAGTTGCGCTTAACATAGTGGACTACATGCAATGCTATAATGTACTTTTGAATTATCTCTTAAAATGTAAATGGTGCATTAAACTATTTAAAAATATCAAACAATCACTTAAAATATAAAAAGATACATATGAAATTCAATCATAACATTTTGGTATCTACTAACAATAATATGTCCAGTACAGGTACACAGTGATTACAAAGAAATACACATTTTTCCACAAAGAATTTTAATTGTACCCCTTTTTCCCATATGTAATTCTTTTATGATGACAACGAACACTCGTTACCACTTTTATGATGTCAACGAATACTCGCTGTCACTTTCGTAATGCTCGTTGTAGTAGAGACTTTGTAATCGAAGATACAACTATAGTAACGCCGTTGAACAATACTGGTGTCAGGCGCCTTCGAATATGATTCGCACTAATAGTACTTGCTCGATAATACTCGATCGAATAATAATCCGTATAGTGATCAGAATAGAGAAATAGCGTAGAGAAGAGAATAGAGAATAGCGGTTCGTATATTATAGAAGGATAGAGTATAAATGCGATCAATATAGACGTCATGCAACTTCCTACTTTTGTGTTTCCTCTATGGTCACGTGGTCTACTTAAGTCAATAATTGGATCGCCTGCGTTTGCTCACTGGCGATCTATGTTTAAACTCAAGCGACAATTTATTTCTATATAATAATTTCAAATTTTATTTGTTAGGAAAATTAAATGATAGCATTGTAGTTGTGTGTAATATTAATGGTAATAGCCGTTTCCCGAGGAAAACATTTGGCATTCATTGACCGAGGAACCAGGACTGTTTTCGGGTGAAATTTGTAAACTCTTTCTCTTTAAACATTTTTCAGGAAAACACGTTTCGCAAGTCAGCGAAGCTGTTATTGATTCTTTCCAGTATTGACGGGGAGTTCTTTATTAACCTTTCATTTGAAGTGTTGTTGAATGTTAACATATTCATTAAAGCATTATTTTCTCTTCAAGTTACGTGTTCCATCAAATTTTGTTGTGATCTGTTTTCTGCTTTTGGTACAGTACTTTGGTTGTGATTCTGTAGCATTTTTTCCACAATGTTCAAAGAAGGATGATCTATGCCAAGACCCTCAGGCTTCACTCCCTCAAATCCAATTTTAACCATTGATCTTCGATAGCCGTTGTAAACACCTGACAGTTTAGATCAGGGGTGGCCAACCTTTTGATTCCATGCGCCAATATTTTGTAGGATTAATTTAAATGCGCCACACAAACATTCACTTCCTTTCAGTACGTGTTGTAATATGGACATATTTTAAAGTTATAATAAAAGAATGCGCCACTTGTAAGCATCCAATGCGCCACTTATGGCGCATGCGCCACAGGTTGGGCATCCTTGGTTTAGATATTTCTGAATGGGATTAACGCCATGTAGGGTATCTATATGAATGTCACGATTTGATGAAGTTATTTAAGAACATGACTCGTTTTTCAGTTTGGGTTTTGTAGCAAAATTATCTGTTTTTATACTGATACAAGTATGTCAGTGAATTGACAACCGTTGATGAAAAAAGATTAGAGTCAAGTTCTAACATCGCTTATATACTAGCTTGTTATTTTGAAGCTTTTAAAATAATATCTATACAAAATAAAGGCTAATCTAATCTGAATAGTTATTGATATATGTTAGTATCTAAGATTTTAGAACAAAGCAAAATGCATTTATTAAAGATGAAGTTACCATTGGAGAAAATCTATATGTTACTCTATTTCATTACATTTCTTAACAAAAAACATGAGATCTATTTGAAAGGCAATGATGTCATATTGTTTGATATTTTTCAATATTCATATTAACCACAGACTGAAAAATGTATAGAGTCATTTAATTAGCATTTCACGAATTACATGATGCAAGGATGTATCATGGTAATGGTAACATTAGCTGTTTCCCTACAAGAAAACAATCATTGACCGAGCAGCCGCTACTGTTTTCAGTTGAGATTTATAAAATATTTTTTTAGGAATACAGGTACCCCAAGTCCATGAGCTGCTATCAATCTTTGCAGTATTGACGGGCGTTTACTTCCAAGCCTTTTGTTTGAAGTGGTGTCAACAAATTGATTATGACATTATTTTCTCTCCAAGTAATATATGCTATCCATTTTAGTTGTTGCCGCAGTTGAAAGTCCTCAAGTGATGTGTTTACTTTTAATCGGTACAGTTCTTTGTTTGTGATTCTGTAGCGCCAGGTCCGAATGTTCAAAGAAGGACGATCTTTGGCAAAAGGAAAGAATTGCCTTAGTATTAATGATTTTTTTTTGTCGATGTGTAATCATTCCTTCTTTGCTACTTCATTTCAAGAATAGATGATTTATGACCTTTATTTCACAACCCTTACAACTCTTGACAGTAACCAAGAGGCGACGCTTAAAAAACTTTCAGCGATCTCCTTTCGCACTACAAGATGATAAGATACAGCCCCGTCTTGATGGCTTGTGAATAAGACAAAGTTGACCATCCGAGAGAGCATAAATGGAATAGGTCTTTGTTTTACAAACTTTTCCTTTCTTTACTCGTCTTGTTGCTATCATTTGAATAATGGCCCTTCTAATAGGGCATTATTCTCTTAAGAATCAAATATTCAACGCAACAGTTTGATAGCGGTGAGTGTAACGCCAAATTCCACTTCTCAATTTGGCTTAAGGGATGGGAAAATGGATGGAGCGCTTAAATAAAAGACAAATAATCACGCAAAATATTTCCTCTCTCCTTTCTGCCCAAATTCGACTGTGTGCATAAACTTTTGAATAGAAAAGATTTAAATGATCGACAACAGGAGTTTAGTCATTATATATATATATATATATATATATATATATATATATATATATATATATCTTGAAATATAATAATATAAAAAATGTTGCATAACCTTATGAATAGAAAAGATTTAACTGATCGACAACAGCAGTTTAGACAATATGTGTGTGCGTGTATGTGTGTATGTATGTGTGTGTGTGAGGATATATATATATATATATATATATATATATATATATATAAGTTTCACCCCCAAGCAAGGCAGGGAAGCCACTAGGATGCAAGGGGTTACAGGAAATAGCAAGATCAGATAGGAGTGATAGAAGAAAGGATGAGGGTAGTGGATAGATCAAGGCAACTGGAGTTGTCGATTGACATTACACTTGAATAGCTGGAGATTATAGCTCGCAGGGAAACAGAAGGGAAGGGAGTTCCACAGGCGAGAGGTGCGAGACATGAAGCTATTAGAGTAGAAGAGACGGCTACATTTGGGAGTGAGAGCGGGATGCCAGCCTCGTAGGGCGCTGGAACTCATGACGTCTGGGAATGCAGCTCCTCGGAGCAATTTCCATGAAAGTATTTGTAGAACAGACAGAGGGAGGCGACGGCGCGTCTGTGAGAAAGTGACTGTAGACGAGACGCCAGGGCCAACCATATTGCATATCCGCCTCTGGAGCCTATCAAGAAAGTTCACTCAAAATCCATCAAGAGAAACGGTTAATAAGTTTTAAATAAGGGTACAGTAGAAGGGAAAACTGGATCATGATATCACGACAGCAAGAGAGATCATCATTTCAAATTAGACGTACATTATTGAAGAAAATATTTATTTATTCGTTTTCTAAGTCTTCTTAGCAGGTTATTTAAAGCCAGAATATCTATTTAGATTGAAAGATTTTTTAAGATAATAATTACTCATTAATCCATAGCTGGGGGAGACGTTGTTGCGTACCTTTCCCAAGAATACTTGCGCGTAAGTGAATATAGCTAACTCAACTGGAATTAGAAATCGGCCTTCTAATTAACAATTTCAAGCTATTATCTATTACACCACTTGCACATCCAAGCTTACTGGACCCGGTCTTCCCAAGTGATCAAGGCTCAACGTTGATCGTAAAGGAAACGTTATGTAGCCGTAAGCCAAACAACGACGAGATATCCTTAGATATGGACAACAGAACGAGAACAATCTATTCCCATAGATCTGTTTGGAATTCCTTGGATGTTACTCAGATCGACAGCGGAAAACAAAACATTATCACAGATATTAATGGGGATATTATTAAATGATGTAAGGTGAAGATATTTGAGGCTTTCGTCGGTCTTGCTAGACCATGGATCCGAGCCCAAAATGTTATACTTCAGCTGCTGATGCCAGTGCAGCATTGTAGTATTATGGCTGTATAAAACCACACGGGAGTGACAGTCTCGATTGCAGCCATGCCAGATGTTGCCGTGTTGTTTTCTTTCCGTCGAACACGCTTGCTTCCGATGGCAAGCTCTTCACGCTCCAGCTCTCGGTATAAATCGCGTCTCCAACGTGAGCCATCGCTGGCGACGTTTTCCCAACTTTCGATGTCCATGTCTATCATCCTCATGTCCCTTTTGTAGCTGTACTTGTGCTCTCTGGCTGGTGGCCAATTACCCGTACAAAAGGACATTCAGAATCTTCCCATCCGGCATACGGTGTACATGTCCAAGACATACTGTTGGAGACAGGATGTATACTTAACGAGGGAGTCACGTATTATCATTATTTTATGAATGCATGGAATTTTCCAGCAGTCATAATGTCATCAGTCAGTAAATGAGAGCTGTGTTATAATTACAACTAATATTTTTCTTGATATAACTCCGTTCGTATATTTTACGTGGTGCTTATTTTACTTTAAAATCACGAGGTTAACAGGTAATATTCTTTCTTGGTAAACAGATAATATTCTTTCTTGCATAGTAGCCTCGCTTTTGGATTCCTTAATGCTGAATTTTGTATGCGGACATTTAGTGAGGAACTGTTGGATCGGTGGAAAAGCGTGGGGTTTAATTGAAAAACTCAGCTTATAATCTATGTTTCATGCCTCTCTCTTTTACGATTTGTTTTCGACTGCTTTTGACTTGTTATCAGTCCATTCATCGGTTCAAGACCGCCTACCAGCCCTACCCACTTATCTATCTCCACCTATTCACGGTCCTGGTCAGTCATATATTCACCTGCCTGCTTGCCAATTTTCTACAGGCGTGTCCCTTTAATTTCCTCTTAACGGTGGCGAAAGTCATTCACTTGTCATCGACTCTGAACAATAAAATAAAGGAAAGGAAAACAATGATCGTCTTTTGCGGACAGAATCCCGTGAAAATTTCTCCCAGAAGAAAAATTAAAAAAAAATTCCTTTAGCAAAAAATAATACGGAGATAACGTCAACAATTCGTCCCCCTTTTTTTTTTTTTTTTTTTCTCTAAATCTAGTTTTTGCCAGATAAATTCGTTCCGCAATTTATTTTATTCGTATTCTGGACAATCTTCTGACAGGCGGAGAAAAGATTTGAAACAAAAGAAACGTGGTTCTACAGAAGGATTCTGAGAATACGATGGACTAAATATGTGAGCAACGACGGACACTTAGAGAAAATAGAAATAAAATCAACACTTATGTTTATATATACTTATATAATCTTATATTATATGTAACTATACAAATGAAAGAGCCAATTCAATTTCTCGAGTACATAATGAGGAAAGTGGGCTTGGAAAATTTGACACTCACGTGACATGAGAGGAGAGGGACAGATTAAAACAGCGCATACCGACCTAGTTTGTGTAAATGTTCGACAGAACAGGGTTTAGGAGAAAAGACAAAATTTGTTAAAAGCTACGAAGGATTGGAAATTGTGGAGAGTCATGATCGCCAAGGTCCTTTAAGGATACCGCCCATAGAAGAAGAAGAACGAGCTTGAGTAAATGTATGGAGGAACAAGGTTTAAGAGGAAAAACAAAAAGACAAATTTTATTAAAAGCTACGAAGGGTAGGAAATTGTGGAGAGCCATGATCGCCTACATCTTGAATAGAAACGGCACATAGAAGAACGAGCTTGAATAAATGCATGGTGGGACAAGCTTTCGTAGAAATAACAAAAAGATAACTTTTATTAAGAGCTATGAAAGACAGGAAGTTGTGGAGAGCCATGGCCACCTACATCCTGAAGGGACACGATCCATAGAAGAAGCAGACCGAGCTTAAGTAAATGGATGGCGAAACAAGGTTTAGGAGAAATAACAAAAAGTCAAAATTTATTACGGTCTACAAAAGACAGGAAATTGTGGAGAGCCATGATCGCCAATGTCCTGACCGGATACGACTCATAAAGAAACAAGCTTGAGTAAATGAATGATGGAACAAGGTTTAGGAGAAAAAAAAACAAAAAGACAAAATTTACCTATAGCTGCAAATAATGGGAACTTGACGAGAGCCATGATCGCCCACTTCCTGAAGAGACATGGCACATAGAAGGAGATTACTCGTAAACGATTTTAACAAATCGAGTGAAGGTGACGAGAGACAGTATCATGGGAGCATTCTATTTGATGGGTCGCTTCCCTAGTGAATTGCGCCGGTCCTCGTAGATGAGCCCGTTTAATCAGTATTTATTGAAGTGAACTGGTCGGACCGGAGGCGGAAAGTCTGTGAAGTTGAAGTTCGTCTTCTTGAAATATGAAAAACCATTTCTACCATTTGGTAACATTGTCCCCTTCATTGAAAGCGAAGAGGAGCGGATGTTCATTTTTTATCTATTTGTCACTCAATAGTCATTTGTCTGGAAAGAGATAAAATTCAATCAAACTTCCAAAACGATAAACAAAAATTGTAGACAAAAAATAGTGCTACAGAAATCTGAAAACTCCACGCTAAAATACGTTAATTCAAATGACACTGGATATAAATGAAAAAGTTTATATGGTAACGCAATACATAAACGACACCAATGTCTGACGAGATAAATTAAAGTTTCATCAGTTTGGTTTTATAGTCAAATAGTAAATGAAGGCTGCTGGCCCTATAAAAATATACATGAATAAGTAGGAACGGCGATCCGCTGGGAATTGCTGGGAAGTGTTGAATCATTTCTGTCTGAATTTCTGGGAAAATTGTAGAGGAAAAATAGTGCTAAAAAAAACTAAAAAACTCTACGGTTTCAATGATCGACAACAGCAGTTTAGTCATTAAATATATATATATATATATATATATATATATATATATATATATATATCCTAATCCTTCACATTATTCACCTCATCTTTGTTGTTCGAATATGAATAGGGTAAATAGGAGTAGTATCAATCCTGAAGAACAGAAATAAATTTCTAAAGAAATTTCAAATCCAAAACACACACACACACACACACACACATATATATATATATATATATATATATATATATATAGAGAGAGAGAGAGAGATCGTCATCCACAGACACGCTGTTTCGCTGTATCACAGCCCATCAGTGTGACTAGACATACGATCGCTTCAAGCCGGGATCGAAACCAGGCTTATTTGGCATCAGTCGGAGATTCTACCCTATGCTATTGGCGCCCGGTAAAAAGGAAGGTGAATTTTTGCGTTTTTATTATTAGACATACCAGTGACTGAGAGGACTCAAATCCGTTAGGAGAGTCTTGCATTATCAGCAGTAGTAGTCACTGTTTACAAATTCGCGCTTTCTCGCCAAAGTGCACAACCGAATTCATTTTTCGGGGGCATATTATCGTCATCCACAGAGAGACTGTTTCGTTTTATCACAGCTCATCAGTGTGGCTAGACATCCGATCGCTTCAAGCCGGGATCGAAACCCTGCTGATTTGGCATCAGTCGGAGATTCTATTCATATTGGCGCCCGGTAGAGAATAGGAAATGGATTATTTTTAAGCTAGCTCCTCTTGATTGGGCCTTCCTCACAATAGGTAGGAGGGATAAATACGATAGGCAACAATAAACTACAGGACTCAAAATTGATCGTTACCTTTAAGTATTCCATTAATATTTAAGCTTATCTCTTAAAAATTCAGCGATAAGTCTACTGTCACCACTTAATGTAAAGACAGTTTGATGAACGTAGCTCCTTACTTTTCGTACGAACCATTATTTTTATTTCATCGGTGACATTCGCTGGATTTCGCAATTAATTTTGATTATTCCCAAATTTATTTCCAAGAAATATAAAAATTGTTATCGTACAAAAAATTTATCGCAGTAATAAAAAATTGCGAATCCAAAATTTCATGATTGCTGGTTCGGATCTGGCTCGGAATATTTTTAATTTGCTCACGGAATCGGCCTGATTCCAAAACTGTATGATATGCTTGGCTACGGCCTCTAGGGGTGAAGTTGAAAAAGTGTGACACAGTGACACACTGGGATTCGTATTTATTATATCGATGGATACTCATGTTTCAGACTATTCACTGTTTTTATTATTAAATTACATATTTATTTATATATTTTTAGAAAAATATGCGCCCACTTAAGTCCCCTAGGAGAAACCGTCATTATATCTGAGGTACCACGTAGAAACTCCTGTTATATATAAATGTAAATAGAAATGTAAAATTGGACACTGAGACCACCAGCATTTGACGATTCTGTTCCATACATCTTCAAGTCACGGTCTGGACTCAATGTCCACTTTTATATTTACATATGCTCTGTCTCTGATAGCGAGCACTTTAATCCATATATATAGCATACCATAAAATTATATTTTTATCATATGTGTGTATGTGTGTGTGTGTGTGTGTGTGTGCGTGTGTGTGTGTGTTTGTGTCAAAACTTCGGATAGAGTAAATCTGTAAAGGGATAGTATCAATAAAGAAAAAAATGAAAACTTATCTTAGCCGACGCGTTTCGTCCTTTGGGGGACTTTCTCAAGACAAATGTAAAAATGTTATTCTGTGACAAGTATTTATATACAACAGCAAAAATGTTATTGGTTTTTCAAAATTTTGGGTATCGGAGTACTCATAAATATTCATCAGGTTAGCGGAAAAGGCAGGTATGTTCATGGACGTTAGGTGATATAGTTCAATGCCTAATAAACTAAAGTGCAGGAGATTTTGTTTTACTTTTTTTTTCTTTTTTTTCTTTTTTTTTGTATATTCGATCAAATCTCTTCAAAGACTCCTTTTCTATACTATCTGTGAATTGCCATTCCTTCTTGGAAAATGTAATGGAGTGGTTTCCAGTAGCATCCTCCACATGTTACTTTTCGTTATTATCTCTGAACTGTCATGCCTTCTTGGGAAAGTTTGAGAGTGGTTTCCCGTTACATTCTCCACAGATTCGTTTTTGGTAATACCCCTGAATTGCCACGCGTTCTTGGGAAAGATAGTGGAGTGGTTTCCTGTAATATTCTCCACAGATTCCTTTTCCTTATTATCTGTTAATTGCCATACCTTTTTAGGAAAGATAGTGGAGTTGTTTTCCGTTACACTCTCCACTATAATTGGTCAAATTTTCACGAGGACTTGCAACAGACTAACACCTCGCTCTATGGCCTCTCTGATTTGTTTCGAATTAATCATTACCTACATTTTAACAGCTAAATCTACGAATCCTTCGATGATGCGCGGTTTTCTTTTTATCGCTCATCCCTGGGGTTAGAGCCAATCGGAACCATAACATGACATCTGAATACTCTATTCAACCTTCACTCGTCTCGCTTGTGCATTTTAACACCAAAAATCTCATTGTCACGTCTTTATTCAAACGAGCAGTCTCTGGTAATGTTCTACCTCTTGTGGCGATCTGCCATGGAACAGACCTATTGATGAAACTAACAGCAGTTACACAGATCTTATTGCTGGTAGGAAGGGGCTCACTGTATAGCCTGTTTTTGAGGACTCCGCCCAACTATCTCGTTTTCAGCTATTTGGGTCTCGAGGTCTTTTCAAGGGTACCAAGGCTCTTTGAACCGTGTTGAATATTCCTCTATTACGGCCGGTTGCGAAGGGACCCCCCATAACAGATTAAACTTCAAGGCACCAAAAAACTAGACCTGCCCCTTTTTTGGCTGTTTTTGTATTACATCTACTGAGTTACAAGATCTGTTTTCACTGGGTGCTGCGTAATTAAGGTTTGATTTGATTTGGTTTATTTTGTTTTACGGTATATCAACCTCAATGTGTTATTTACTGCCGACCAGATTTTTAGGATTTTATAATATATATACTTTTTAAAGGGGAGATATACTAATATATATATTTTTAAAGAGGAGATTTTGTCGAGAGTCAAATATATTGCTGGTAATATTTTTTTCAAAAATGTATTGCTGGTATATTTACTATAAAATCTATTTTTTAGTGCTTTGACCTAAGTTTGGGGGTTAACTTTTTCACATAGGTGGTCCCTAACAGCTACTACCACCCCAAATCAAGTCGAACCTGAGAATAACAGCAATTAACAGCCTCCCTGCTGGATGCCTTTATTGTTATACCCAGCACGTGCATATTTACGGCCTTGTACCAAACTATGTAATGGTTAGTAAAGGACAATGAGAAGGCAATGTTTAGCCAGCCAGTATTATTGATTATTGCTACTGATTACAGGATTTGTATTAAAAGTAAACTCACTTAATTCTTTTTGTATAAATCGTTAGAGCTATAAGACGCATGTTTAAAAAAAACTCAGATAAATTCCAGTGAAAAAAAGGATTATTTTCATGTATAAAACGCACCTGATTTTAGTGCAAAGAAAATGATTAAAAAAAATGAACAAATAACGGTTTATTTTTGTGACTTGTAAGCATTATGAAAACGTGATAAGGTTCTTGTGTGTATAAGACAACCGAGTCGTCAGTAGACATTAATAAAATAAATCAAAGTAAAATTAAATAAATATTAACTTAATAATCGGTATCACCTCATACAAAGCAGTAAATCCACTAAAACATAAGGAGTTACAGGGTGTGGAAGAATTAGGAACAGAAACATTAATAATGAGCGGAAAGGGAAAAGTGTAATCAAGAGGACATTTGATAATGATTGACATTGCATTTAAATTTTTGAAGATTAAGGTTGGCTGGAAAGCATGGAGTCGGAAAGGAGTCTCACAAGCGAGAAGTGCGAGAAAAGAAACTGTTAGCATAGAACTTAGGGCTACATCTCGCATGCTCAACTGTAAATTGTTGAGATTTCAATGCCAGTCTAGTACTGCGCTTGAATTAGAAAAGTCTAAGTACCACAGTGAAGAGTTGATCGGAACAATTACCATAAAAGTATTTATGGAAAAGACATAGAGAGGCAACCTGACGAAGTAACTGAAGTCGAGCAGCCAGATCAGGACCAATAATATTGCTGATTCTTCTTTGGATCTTATCAAGAAGCTCGAGGTAAATATCAGGGTCACCGGACCATATGTGGCAACAATATTCTAAGCAGGGACGAATAGTAGACTTATAGATATATTCAGGAAAGAAAAATTGTCTCGTTCAACATAGTGAACCGAAATGGATGTCAGTTATCAGTTATCTCCTGTTAATTTTCCCTCTGAAAGTTCTCCACTGCCTTAACCGGGTATTGCACTCACACTCTTTGGGTCCGTTCACTGGATCCCACCAACGCCTTTATCCACTATGCCATGAGTCCTTGAGGACACATGGCATATTGGAAAATTTTCAGAGGGAAAATTAACAGGAGATAACTGATAACTGACATCCATTAAACATGGCACGTGGAACTAGAACAGTTTACCCCAGTGAGCGAAATAAAGGGTTCAGTTCGACATTCCAACCACCTGAAGAAGGCCGGAGCGTACAACGGCCGAAACGTTGTAATAAATATGGCGACAAAGATGAGAACAATAGTCCGAATAATGTAAATAATGTACATAATACCTCATCTCAGAAATATAGACATATACTTTATGTATTGTTGATAATTTTTTTTTATATAAAAATGTATTGCTGGTATTTTTACTATAAAAATCTATTTTTATACTTTAATAGTGTTTTGTTTTATTTACAATATTCGGGTTGTTATCCTCATCTTCATTGGCATATTCACAATGTTTTAGAACCCTCAAAAGACGTCGGTTAGATCCAGTGACTAGACCTAAAGAGTTTGAGTCCAGCCATTGAGTTTAATACCAGGCTACGGCAGTGGTGAAGCAATAACCTTGGAGATTTGAGTTTAAGGGAAATAACTAAGACATCAAGAAGAGGCATGGCACATGCAACTAGAACAATCTACCCCGGTGGACGAAATAAAGGGTTTCGGTTCGAAATTCCAATCACCCGAAGATGGCCGGAGCGTACAACGGCCGAAACGTTGTGAATATGGCATTGAAGATGAGTAGAACAGTTCGAGTAATGTAAATAAATAATACCTCATCTCAAAGATATAGACAGATGTTTGCATTTTGTTCGGGGGTTTAATATTTGCTCATAGCTGGGACCCTAACAGGTGCTA